ACTAACACATTTTTATACATCTTACAACATTTTTAGACTGTGTAGAATATTTTCAGACTAGCTACGAGTACATTATTTTTTAAACATCACATTTTCACACAGTGTACAATATTTTTGAACCATGTACAACATTTTCAGACCAACTACAATATTTTCAGACTAACTGCAATCTTTTTATACACCTTTATATAGACAAGACCATGCACAACATTTCTAGATGGTGTACTATTTTTTAGACTGTGTACAATATTTTCAGACCAACTGCGACATTTCAAACCAACTGAAATATCTTTATTCATCTTACAACAGTTTTAGACTGTTTACAACAGTGGTCGGGGGAACTTTTGGAACCATTACCCCAAAATATTTTTGTGCAACCTCTCATTACCCCACAAAAAAAATTAACTAAAAGAGCCTATAATTGGAATCCCGCAGATAACGGTTTGCTACATTGTTTGTTACTTCTAACTTTGACAGAAGTGCTGAAACAATTGTTTGAAGGAAACAATAAGTAAAAACTATATTCTTTATGAATAAATATATTTTTCATGAAAATCCTACTAATGAATGAATAAACTAGGGGTGTGAATGCATCATGCCTTACGGCAAATTGCTAGAACTTTCGCACCGTGACGAAATGTTCGAGGAATTTTAAATACTTTCAATTAGATTATTATATCCTGTAACATTATATAATATTCATAAAATATATATAAGCTGAATTACAAAATTAAAATTATTTATTTGAAGTATATAAGTGAGCTATAGAACTTTAGCCAGAATTAAAATTAAAATCAGAATTATTTTCGATATACAAAGAAAAAATTTTTTTTTTTCCCCCAAAAGTAATTATTTTGTCAACACAAACTGCAAGTTTTTTTAATCATTCAAATCGGATGCTTAGTTCTCTCAGAAACTGCCATTTTTGTACATTGAGCTCTGTTTCTTTGCAATGGCTGGACCTGCCTTTGCCAAAACCTAATCACTACTTTTCCCAATCATTACAAATTGAATGTTTTCTGGATCATTCAAATGAGATACTCCGTTCTCTCACAAACTCGATTCTATTTTCTGCACTCTTTACTCCGTATCTCCGTAACGGCTGGACCTGCCTTTGCCAAATACTAATCAGCATATTTCGCTATCAATAGGAACCAAATGTTGAATGAATCATTCTAATCGGTTCATCCGAGCGCTCGAAAACGCGAACGAAAAATGCGGATACACAAAACACACACACATCCATTTTCTCTGAGGTATGGCAAATGTTCAAAAACCTCTGAAACTTGAAGAAATGCAAAAATTTTCATTTTCGATTTTCGGCCCATTACTATTATATAATTTACCCTACGGGAAGTTAACAATAATGCCACAAGTGACAATAAACACGCACATATGTAATGTAAGAAATTACGATTTGGAGAAACGGTATTGCTTCATCTTTGACACAATTTCTTCAAAATTTTGACTTTAACATGTCAGAGCAATTTTAATACAATCTTCGGCATTCAATCTATTTCTCCTCGAATTTATGTTTATCAGAGTGGAAAGGTCTGGTTTGCACAAATATGTGGTTCCAAATGGCAGCAATTTTCTTACCGCTTCTTCATGTGCTATTTCAAAACCCTTTGCAGCTTTTGGCATTCAAAAAACATGGCAGGTTTTGTTCACTCCCAAATTCAATACATGCTTCCAGAATTGATTCTGCCAAACCTGCAGGTTTTTCCGGTACAATCCAACTCACAATACGTGTATCCAGATCTGGAAAGTAATCCAAAAACCGCACTCTCAGGTGAAGTAATATTATCACAATCCTCCAAAAACAAAGCATAACCTTGGTAAAAATATGCTATCTTGTTCTCTTCTACTTTCTGCCTTCAATATTCCAGCTTTGAACCAAATCCCAACAATATTTCTCTCGCTGAAATAATATTAATATGCTTTAATTTCCCTTTAATTCTTTGTTTAATATATTTATGCTTTCAAAAATGTCTGCTAAATATGCGAGAAATGAACCACAGGAAGAGTTTTCAAAATTTTCAGCAACAATACTTGTTTGAGAAACCATAGAGATTTCAGCTTCATTTTTAAGAATCCGTACTCGATTTAAAATATTTACGCGAGAGAGCCACCGTACTTCTGTATAATAAAGGAGGTCGGTCTCAACTTTACCATCCTGACATAATTCACAAAATAGCCGCGTATTTAGTGCATGTCTCTTGTTAAAATTTATAATCTTGATAGCATCATGAGTGTGGGTTATTTTCCCTTACAAAAGCTGAAAAACGATAAATATGACCCAGCATAGCTGAAGTTTCATCAGAATACACCAAATTGCAATTTTTCCATTTTAATCTTTGCGCTTTGAAATATTCGTTTACTTTATTATAAATATCTATTTCACGACATCTGAACTCAAAAAAAAAAAAACAAAAAGCAATTCCTTTCCAGAATATCTACATTCATAGCAGACATATATCAGTTGTGAATTACTACTGAAATCCGTTTTCTCAAGCTGAATAGCAAAATATTTAGTTTGTTTTAATGAAAAACTTCACATTTTTTGCCAATGCAAGAGATTCTTTTCGGTAGTAGGTTTACTGAAGCTGATTTAAAACAAGCAAGATATTTAACTTGTTTTAGTGCGAAAATTACTTATTCCTTCATATTTTCTGCTAATGCAGAAATTCTTTCCGATAGTAGGTTTTTACTGAAGCTGATTTTGTGCTTCGCAAATATATACTTTTTACCCCCAAAAATTCCACTTTTACCCCATTTGGGGTAATTTACCCCGTTCCCCGACCACTGGTTTACAACATTACCGTGTACAAGATTTTCAGTCTGTTTACAACATTTTCAGGTCATGTACAACACATACAATTTATAAAATTTTCATTCACCTTTTAGCATTTTTATACATTTTACATTTCCCAGTTGAATGTTTATAACCCAATCTTATTGAAAGTCAACATTAGAAGTTTCACTTAAAAAATGAACGTAAATGAATTACATAAAAGTATATGTATATATGTATTTATAGGTAGCTGAAAGATTATTGAAAAAAGAAATTCTGAGTCGGGAAGACATGATTGAACTTTTAGGCAAGAGACCCTTCCCTGAAAAATCTACATATGAAGAATTTGTAGAAGGTAAGATTAAAAAATAACTTTATTAATATAAATATATAATTATTTTCAAGAAATATTATTTAATGAGTAAACTTTTAACTGCAATCTTACAATAATCTTTTGCTTTTATTTTCTTTCATCAAGTGCGACTCCACCATAATGCTACTAATAATGTAATAATAATATAATTGAAATTGTTGTCTGTTGCCCTCATCAGCCATTGAATTTAAATATATATATATATATATATATATATATTTATTATTTACTTATTTATCTATTTATCTATTTTTCTAGGTACGGGTTCCTTCGAAGAAAATACACAATTGCCAGAAGGTCTTCTAGGATGGAACAAAGAGCAGCAGGCGAAAGACAAAAAGGGGCCTGCTGAAATATCCACCGAAAGCAAAAACCCTCCAGCGTGATCAAATTTGGCCAGAACACTCACAGTAGTAGTAGCGAGATAAATGAATGATATAAATATATACCTGTGTATATATTAATATTGAAATGTATAGAAGTTAAATACATAACCTCAAATATATATCTATATTTGTATATATGTATGTATATTTATATATTAATATATTTATATATTTTTTAGATTTTTTTTTGTTTTTAGCTTTTAGAATAGATTTATGAATGTGGAAGGTATTTTTGGATTTTATATACGTACATATATACAAATATACATATACACATTATATATATATATTATATATATATATATATATATATTTGTGTATGTATATATTTGAAATTTAAGTATTAATATAAATTTATACATATGCATTGTGAACTATAGACTGTTGAAATATATATTATAAAGAACTTAAAAGACACCTTTACTTTTTCAAATTCCCAAACAAATTTCATATTTTGGCCAGAAAATCTTATTCGACACCAAAATTAGATAATTTGGTACCAAAATTAGAAAATGCATGTGTGTGTGAGATAAAATTTGGCTTTTTGTCTACAATTTCTCAAAAAAGGCTTCACCGTTCTTTAAAATGTAAAAGCCATTTGAAGAAACTTGATATGGAAGAGTATTGATTGTTTTTGCAAAACGATCATGCAAATCGCTTCTTCACAATGTGCATATAGGTGCTAAATTTTCACCCTTTTTTTGCCTGATTTCCTGAACCAATTTTGAAAATTGAAAAACTATTCGAAAGCTATCAGTTGAGAATCGTGCTGATTAGTTTTTGACAAATATCGCGTCATTTCTTTACTATTATTTTTTTTTTTAAATTAGTTAATAATAATAATAAATCATTGTAAGATAAAAAATCATTATAATTGTCTGGAATGTGCAAAAACAAATAGTATTGAAAAATTTATAAATAAGTTTATGAACATATATATCATCAGAACTTAAAGTAAAACTTCTTTAGTCGCGACTAGGGAGTAAACCTGTGAAAATGCAACGATCATTTCTATACAGGTCGATTTGTGATTGGTCGTCGTGTCACGTGAGAGGATTCTTTCGTTTCGTCAACACAAGCAGAAAGTTTTTCGAATCACTCAAATCGGATGCCTAGTTCTTTCAAAAACTGCTATTTTTTGCACATTTAGGTCGGTATCTCCAAAACGGCTAGACCAGCCTTTGTCAAGAACCAATCACCACTGCTCCCCGCCTAGACAATATTAGAATACCCTGTGTTCATGTGTGGCTCCCCGTCATTACAAATTGTATGTTTTTTTATCATTCAAATCGGATGCTCAGCTCTCTCAAAAACTCGATTTCTATTTTCTATACTCTTTGCTCTGTATCTCCGAAATGGCTGAAACCGCCTTTGCCAAAAACTCTTCAGCACAACTCCCTATCAATAGGACTCGAATGTTTTTTAAACCATTCAAATCGGTTAATCCGTGCGCGAGAAATCGTGGACAAAAAATAGTATCCACACCAAACACATACATCCATTGTTTTTAAGGTATGCCAAAATGTTCAAAAACCTTCAAAACGTGAAGAAATGCAAAAATTTTCAATTTCGATTTTTTGATGATTACAATTACTTACCCGGTAAGCGGGAATTTGTATTATGTATTTTTTAAAGTAAAATTGGATATTCATTTGTATTGTATTGTATGATGATATCAGTTATGTATTTATTTATTAACTTCCCGTAGGGTAAGTTATTATGTAATGGGCCGAAAATCGAAATTGAAATCTCGACGTTTTGAAGGTTTCTGAACATTTTGGCATACCTCAGAAAAAATGGTTCAAAAAAACATTCGATTCCTATTGATAGGGAGAAGAGCTGATTAGTATTTGGCAAAGGCAAGTCCAGCCGTTACGGAGATACGAAGCAAAGAGTGCATAAAATAGAAATCGAGTTTTTGAGTTAACAGAGCTTCCGATTCAAAGGATTTAAAAAACATTCAATTAGTAATGATTGGGAAAAGTGATTGTTAGTTTTCGGCAATGGCAGGCCCAGCCATTTCGAAAATACAGAGCTAAATGTGCAAAAATGGCAGTTTTTGAGAGAAGTAAGCGTCCAATTTAAATGATTCAAAGAACTTTCAGGTTGTTTTAACAAAATAATTGATTTTGGAAAAAAAATTGTATTTTTTTTTTTAGTTCTTTAGTTTTTTTTGTATATCGAAAATAATTCAGATTTTATTTTTAATTCTGACTATAGTTATAATATACTTTAAACAAATAAATTCAACTTTGCAATTCAGTTTATATAATTCTTATAAATATTAGACCATGTTACAATATTTATATTAATCTATTTGAAAACATTCAGTATTCCTCGAACATTTTGTTACGGTACGGGAAATTCCAGCAATTTGCCTTAAGGCACGATGCCATACAACCCACTAGTTTATTTATTAATTTATGCAACGCCCAAGGCAATAATACAATATAATAACATTTTAAAGTGTACAAATTATAAACTAAAGATAATATGTGAGAAAATTAGAGTATTAAGAGTTCATAGATAGCTTTGTATATATTTATGTAATAGTAAAGTATGTAATAGTATTTATAAAATTAAATTGTTAAAAAACTTAATGGTGGCACAACCATTTTTTTATTAGAGCGGGGGAAGCGGTTTAAAAAAGGTTGGAAGCCACTGCTTTCACGCTTTGAATGTTGGTACATTGCTTTCGCCGCCATGTTTTACAGGTTGGACACTTGAGTGAAAATATTCAATATGGCGAAAAATGTTTGTGATTAAACTATCAAAATTAAAGTAAATTTAAATTAAATTCTAATTTATTTAAGTGCGATATTGTAAATGTAATAATATAAGTATTAAAAATGTCTCAAAATGCAGTTATATATCCAAGTGTTGACAAAATTAAAGAAGAACCCATTGATTATGTGGAAGAAATGGAAGTTACTTTAGAAGATTTTAAGGAAATAAAATCCGAACCAAATTTAGAAGACGATGAAATTTGTTTGAATAGATTCTTAAAATCCGAAGTGACTGTAGAAGAAGAAATTAAACCACAATTAGACAATCAAGAAGAACAAAAGTCTATCAACAAAAGTGCTCAACTAGATACCAAATACCACAGCTGTAAAATTTGTTTCAAGGCCTTCAAATTGAGAAGTAATTTAGATAAGCATATGTTTGATGATATCGGTAATGAATCTTTCAAATGCAACTACTGCGACATGTTATTCATGTCTGCAATTGATTTAATGACACATCTCAAAGACCATCCTGACGATTCACCTTTAAAATGTGAAGTATGCTCTGTAGGATTTTCAGACATCGATATGTTAACCCAACACATGCAGTCTCACACAAAAGAACCTCCTTATAAGTGTGAGTTTTGTGATAAAGGTTTTACTAATTTAACAAAATTCGAAGATCACTTAATCATGCATTCTGGAGAACGTCGTTACAAATGTGATTTATGTAACAAACTTTTCAAGCATGCAGGTAGTTTCCGAAGACACTGTCTTGCTCACACAGACCTTCCTCATAAATGTGAAATTTGCAAACAAGCATTCACTGAACGATATGAGTTAGTAAACCATCTCAAACAACAACATAACGATGATATTTCTGTAAGAGCACAAATCTCTTTTGACACCCCCAGCCATCCTTATAAATGCGAAACGTGTGGCAAATCATTCAAGCAACCGGGTGGTTTAAAACACCACAAGTTCATACACACGGGTGAAAAATGTTTAAATGCGGTATATGTCATAAGGCTTTCAGACAAGTAGGATGTTTGAATCGTCATTTAAAGATTCATACAAATGGGTGCCCCCATCAGTGTAATGTGTGTAATAAGTCATTTCAACAAGCTGATAGTTTAAAACAGCATATGAATGGTCACGAGGGGTTAAGCCTCATAAATGTGATGTGTGTGATAGAACATTTAGTCTACCGGGCAATTTGAGGAAACATAAAATGACTCATAGAGGGGAGCTGCATTATGAGTGCGATATATGTGCAAAATCTTTCGTGCAATCTGATTATTTAGTCAATCATAGGAAAACACACTTTAAATAAATTGTAAAGAAATTTTATTTAAATAATAAATTAAACATTATTTAAAAATTGTAGATACTCATTGTTAGTATATTTAAGATTGTCTGATATATTCATTATCATAATCGTGGGAGGTAAACATAGAACAAATGCGCTTTACTCTGTATGAGTGTTTTCAGCATATCACAGATGGTGCTACTGTGCTTCAAATTCATTGTTTGTTTTAAAACACAGTCTCTTAACATTTAACATTTTTTGAATGAAAAAAATGTTAAAACTTTATATGTTATGAGTTTTTTTGAACCAGGAATTTTGCTCATTAAATATCTCTATCATGTAGGTAATCCTAATTAACTAATTCTAAGTATTTAATTATTAAATATACAATATATGAATATAGTAATATCGCATAAGATAGGTAGATAGGTATATATAAATTAATAACATTATTGTAAACTACATACAAAGAAATAACAGAAATACAATTCTTTAAAACTAAACTAAAAACTATGTTAAAACTTTTCTTATTATATATTTTTTACTACATATTTGTGATTTTGTTGGAAATATATTTTATACACCTATATTTTGTTCTCATTTCGTGTAATCAGGTTTATCTTTTCTATATTATATATTTATATAAATCTTATCTAGAATTGAACCTAAGGGTAAATTTACGTGCTACGGTTAGTGGCGACATCTATGATATGCTGAAACAATTAAAATTGATGTAATTTCAAAGCGGCCGTGTTTGCCATCTGTTTATACATTATACTTGTTTATTTTGAACCTATATATATTTATTAACTTTCCATAGAGTAAGTTATAGTCATGTTATAGTAATCGCAAAAAAATCGAAAATAAATTTTTTGCATATCTTCACGTTTCAGCGGTTCCTGAACATTTGGCCATACCTTAGAACAAATGGATGTGTGTATGTGTGTGTGCGTGCATTTGTTTAGATGATATTTTTCATTAACACTACGGGAGTACGGATCAACCGATTAGAATGATTCAAATTTTATTGATGGGGAGACGTGCTGTTTACCTTTTGGGCAAAACAGGTTTACATGCTTTAGAGATGTGGAGCAAAAATAGCAGTTTTTGAGAGAATGGAACATCCGATTAGAATGATTCAAAAAACATTCAATTCGTATTGACGTGCTGATTAGTTATTTTGATAAAGGTAGGTCCAGTCCCTATCCAGTCGATTCAGAGATATGGAGCAAATAGTGCAAAAAATAGCAGTTTTTCAGAGAACGGAGTATCCGATTAGAAGGATTAAAAAAACATTCGATTCGCATTGACACGTGGTGATTAGTTTTTGGCAAGGCAGATTCAGATGTTTCGGAGATATGGAGCAATAATAACAGTTTTTGAGAGAAAAGAGCATCCGGTTAGAATGATTCAAAAAGCATGATTAGTTCTAGAGGAAAGTAGGTCCAGCGGATTCAAAGTTAAAAAAAATACAAATTTTCAAAAAAATATGCTAACTTTTAAATTTCAAAAATTCTAAAGGTAACATACCTTGAAATCAAGAATTTTAACTTTTTAATTTAGAAATATGAGATAATTCTCTAATGCATGATCAAATGTGAGATAAGACCCTTCTTAATTATCTAATTATTTTATTAACTTCCCGTAGGGTAAGTTATAGTAATGGGCCGAAAATCTAATTTGAAAATTTTTGCATATCTTTACGTTTCAAAGATTTCTGAACATTTTGGCATACTTTAGAAAAAATGAATGTGTATGTATGTAAGTATGGATAAAATTTTTCGTCCACGATTTCGGGCGCACGGATCAACCGATTTGAATGGTTCAAAAAACATTCGATTCCTATATTGATTGCGAGATGTGCTGATTAGTTTTTGGCAAAGGCAGGTCTAGCCGTTTCGAAGATACGGAGCTAAATTTGCAAAAAATGGCAGTTTTGAGAGAACTAAGCATCCGATTTTAATGATTCAAAAAACATTCAATTCGAAATGATGGGGAGAAGTGGTGATTAGATTTCGGTAAAGGTAGGTCTAGCCGTTTCGAAGATACGGAGCCAAAATATGCAAAAAATGGCAGTTTTTGAGAGAACTAAGCATCCGATTTGAATGATTCAAAAAGCTTTCTGTTTGTGTTGACGAAACGATTGTTTTTGGTAAAAAACTAAGTTTTATTTTAGCAATTTGCATTAAGGCACGATGCCATACACCACTTGTTATTATTGCCATTAATTAATAAATAAAGAAATAACGAAAAATATTTTTAAAACAGTTTTATTTCAAAATTAGAAATATTTTTATGTTGGTAACGCTGAAATCTTGTGCAGCTGTCAAACAAACTGTTAAATGAATGACTGGAATAAACATATTATTTCTTATTTATTTAATTGTTACACAAAGTTATAGATTAAAAATAATAATAAATATATTATAAATTAATAAATTTAAATATAAAAAATAGTGTACGCGTGCAGTATTTGTGATAAATTGATGAACATAGAAGTAATATAGAATACATTTAGGTTAGTTCACAAGAATAATTTTCATTAAGCTTAATTTATACAAAAAGAACTATGAATATTTACTTCTTGATAAAAGTATGCAAAGTATAATTAGAACTTAATTCTAACTTTTGTATTTCAGCTTTATAATAAAATAAAAGCTTTTTACAAGAAGTTGTGTCAATTTCCCTATCTGTCAAATATGAAGTGTCTTGAGGAAAAAATCATTTTGCTAACATAAATTGTGCAAATTAGACTTCTTTCAAATTAAGGTAACATTACAGAACAAGTTTATTGTAGATTTGATTCCGAGACAAAAATTTCTTAAGAATTAGATTTAAGGGGGTGTTCTAGTGTAGAAAATCAAAAAAATCTTTTTTTTTATTTCATATTTTCAAAGTTTAACTATCTAAGAATATGGGTATGAGAAGGTTTTTGAAAATTTGAATTGTTTTTGGAGATATAGGCATTTTACTGACTCGGTCTCCATACTGGTTTGGCTTCACTCAAAACTTTAAATGCGTTTTCCTCAGAACAGACTTTCCTCAGACAGAGAGTCTTGTTTATAGACCTATCTATAGCCTGAACTAGGATTATCCCCAAATTCCAATTTTTATTATTTTTAAAAAATTCGAGAAACTCAAAAAAACAGAAAAAAACACTTTTTTTTCAAACAGTCGCCAATTTGTAAAAAAAAAAAATTTTTACCCATCGCTAGTTCGGGCGATTGCGACATCATTGTAGATTAATAATCTTTTTATTTTTTGCATTTCCGATGCCTAGGAGGGTTGAAATCATGTCAAGACTGAGGTGCCAATTTTTTGAGCTCACCCACTTTATCAGCTGCCAGTTTTTACAATTTTCAACTTTTTTATTTGTTAATGTTTGTTTTGTATTTTAATAATATTAATAAACAAGTGGTGAAAAAATGGATAGTAAAAACATTCATTGCTTTCTTTTACGACACTTTAAAAATAACCTAAAATTCATTGCTCTACACTAGAATACCCTCTTAAACATTTGCATTAACTGGAAGCTGAAAGAATAAATATGAAATTCATTGTCCTTGTGAAAATAAAATCAATTGCTCAGTTGTCAACAACTCATGTGTCCATTTATAAATTTAGTTAAATTCATTATCAACTAAATTTTCACAATATTTATAGAATACACCTAGTGCAAGTATTTCAAAATGTCAGAAGCAACAACTATCCCTGACAATGAACCAAAAATTAAAATCGAACCACCAGAAAGTTCAATTGAAGACATTAAAAATGAAATAAAGGAAGAGCTTGAATTGTGTTTAGAAAATGAGACAACATGTTTGAAGCGCTTCATGAATTCTGTAGTAGAGATAGAAGAAGAGGTCAAGCAGGAATTAATTCAGGCTCCTTGTGGTAAGTGTAATTTAAAGTAGATTATTTACAATATAATTTAAAATAGCATCTGGTACAGTAATACCCCGCTTAACATGGGTGATACGTTTCACTAAACTAGAGCCTAATGCAAAGCAGCACTAAACCAGGCCATCTTTAGGGGAACATGTCTAGGAAATTGATTTAAACTAAATTTAAAAAGTATGTTTCTTTGATAAAAATGAATCCAAGCATTTATTTCTTAAAGCCCAAAATAATATCACATTTTTATTTCTTGCAAGGATAAAAGTAAATATAAAAAAAAGTGTGCACGTAAGTTTTACACGAGATTGAAGTAAAACTTATTTACTACTGTACAAAGTAGCAAATTTAAGTTAAGTAAAAATAAATACGTAATATAACAATTTTGAATAATGTTTATTAGTAATATGGTAACACTCGTGATGCACACATTTATTAGTGCCAACCATTATACACATTTATATAATGATGAATTGTAAATTATATATACATAATAGTATTAAAGATATGTGAAAATATTTGAAAACAATAATGTATTTAAAGTCATACTTCAAATATGGTACGATCGGTTTGTCATTGTAATTAGCACTTAGAAATGAACCTTCGTTAGAGAAATAAAGTAATTGCTGTTTAATAAATTTTTCAATATTTGTTCACACAGTGGATTATGTTAAACAATGCCTAAACAAATATTGTTTTTGCAACTTAACTCATCATGTAATTGTGTATGAAGAACTTCATGTAATTAAAATCAACATACATTCATTGACTGCTTGTATTTTTTTTACTTTTTCGCTCGCGATATAATCTCATTCTTTGAACAGCTGTAATATCTGTCTTGCCTAAAAAATATTTTACATTTTAATAACTTCAAAGATTTATAGTAACTACAAATAATATAGAAATAATTTCTAATCAATAAATTTACATTTAGTTCACGGCACAAATGTTTAATTTGTATTATTATTTTCAAGGAACAGGGTAAAATATTCTTCTGATTCAGGCATTTTTCATTAAATCAAGATATGTACTACAATGTAACTTTAAAATGTACGCATACAACGACAGATTTCTATTCACATACACGACGACTGATCACAATCGACCTCGAATCGAGCGAATGACGTATAGCTCCACCGTAACGGACTTCCGTTGCATTTGTACGGATTTACACCCTAGTCACGCCTAAAGAAGTTTTACTTCAATAATAAAATAAATATTCATAAATAAACAAATAAATAAATTTTAAGTCAGTTATATTTAGTTAGCCTTCCGGGTTTTCAGTATTCTGCCTTTTTGTGACAAAAACGTCTAATGTTTTTTGCCTTTTTCTTAAAAGTTCTTTATAAACGGATAGAGCATCTCTAACACCAAGCCTTACTTTTGAGTTCCTGTCAAAATTCGGATCATTTTTAATGAATTTTGATCCACTATTTCAGTAGGTAGACAAACTCATTTTTACAAACTCCATCGAAAGTTCTATTTGTTCAGAAACCTTTGAAACGTAAAGATATATACAAATTTTCGTTCTCGATTTTTTTGCGATTACTATAACTTGCCCTCGGGAAGTTAATAAAAGAGCGCTAAACCAAACAGCGTTAAGCGGGGTATTGCTGTTGTATTTTATAAAATAGAATGTACATATTGTTCAATGACTTTTCCAGATGCAAGTGCTTTAGAAATACATGTAACAGTTCATACTGATGAAAAGCCTTTTGTATGCACAATATGCAATAAAGTATTCACCATGAAAAATCATTTAGATCAACACGTTTGTGTTCAAGCCGGACAACAAACTTCAAACTCCAATGAATCTGATAAGCATAAACAAAATATTCCTGCTAATGCTGCAGAAGGTCTTCATAAATGTCAAGTATGTAATAAGGCATTCCAATATCCATGCAGCTTGAAAAACCACATGCTCATTCACAGTGGGACTAGCCCCCATAAATGTGAACTATGTGATAAGATATTCACACAATCGAGTCATTTAAAACAACACATGCGCGTTCACAATGGGGAGCGCCCATATAAATGTGAAAAATGCCATAAGACATTCACACTATTGAGTAACATGAAAGATCATATGAACGTCCACAGTCAAAAACGCTCCTACAAATGTAACATATGTGATAAAACATTCATTCATTCGAGAAGCTTGAAAAAACATACACTCGCTCACAGTGGAGATCGCCCCCATATTTGCAAACTTTGTAATCAAAGATTCACACAATCGAGTAGCTTAAAAACACATATGCAAATTCACAGTGGGGAGCGCCCTCATAATTGTGTAATATGCAATAAGAAATTCACGCGATTGGATACTTTAAAAAAACATATGCTCGTTCACAATGAAGAACGTTCTTTTAAATGTGAATTATGTGATAAGGCATTTAAGGAATTGAATACCTTGAAAGAACATATGCTTATTCACAGGGGGGATTGCCCTCATAAGTGTAAAATTTGCTTTAATGCATTCACAAGAGCGAGTCATCTGAAAAGGCATATGCTTATTCATACTGGACATCGTCCTCATTGTTGTGAAATATGCAATAAGAGTTTCACACAAGTAACTACTTTGAAAAGGCATATGCTTGTCCATACTAGAAAGAAATAATAATTATATTAATTATGAATTATGCTATAATAAGGGATAAACACAAGTAATGTAAAATATGCTATAATACATTCACAAGAGTAAGTAGCTTGAAAAGACGTATGCTAATTCACACTGGAGATCGTCCTCATTGTTGTGAAATATGTGATAAGAGTTTCACACAAATAAATACTTTGAAAAGGCACATGCTTGTCCATACCAGAAAGTAATAATAAATATACTAAATCTGAATTATACTATAATAAGGGATAAACACAAGTAATGTAAAATATGCTATAATACATTCACAAAAGAGTCACTTGAAAAGGCATATGCTAATTCACACTGGAGATCGTCCTCATTGTTGTGAAATATGCAATAAGAGTTTCACACAAATAAATACTTTGAAAAGGCATATGCTTGTCCATACTAGAAAGTAATAATAAATATATTAATTATGAATTATGCTATAATAAGGGATAAACACAAGTAATGTAAAATATGCTATAATACATTCACAAGAGCGAGTCACCTGAAAAGGCATATGCTTATTCATACTGGACATCGTCCTCATTGTTGTGAAATATGCAATAAGAGTTTCACACACATAAATACTTTGAAAAGGCACATGCTTGTCCATACTAGAAAGTAATAATAAATATATTAATTATGAATTATGCTATAATAAGGGATAAACACAAGTAATGTAAAATATGCTATAATACAGTCACAAAAGAGTCATTTGAAAAGGCATATGCTTATTCATACTGGACATCGTCCTCATTGTTGTGAAATATGCAATAAGAGTTTCACACAAATAAATACTTTGAAAAGGCACATGCTTGTCCATACTAGAAAGAAATAATAAATATATTAATTATGAATTATGCTATAATAAGGGATAAACACAAGTAATGTAAAATATGCTATAATACATTCACAAGAGCAAGTCACTTGAAAAGACATATGTTAATTCACACTGGAGATCGTCTTCATTGTTGTGAAATATGTGATAAGAGTTTTACACAAATAAATACTTTGAAAAGGCACATGCTTGTCCATAGCAGAAAGTAATTATAAATATACTAAATCAGATTTTTTTACATACAAGCCTTAAAATATATTCAAATCATTTAATAATTATAGGGCTTAAGTTTGATGTTAGGTTCAAAAATATATAGTTAAATTTAATAAATAAATAAAAAAATATTTGTGGTAAAAAAAACAAAGTGATTTTCCAAAGTGACAATCTTATATAATAAGGGATCAACACAAATATTAAACAAAATAAGAGGTTTATGTTAAATGTTTGTGCAGTTTGTATATATTTTAAATATAAATAAACAATGTTGTAAATGACCTATGTAAAATTTCATTGCAATGTTTTAGATATGTATATAGGTTGCCAATCGGCTGATCAAGAAGAATATGTATATCATTAATTACATAAAAAATCAGTTATTGATACAGGAGGGTTATTATACCAACTAATATTGATATTAATGATGATCTAGTTCACGCTTGTGTTGAAAAGTTAGTTTTTATAGAGAATAAAACCATAATTAACACGAAAAAAATCAAAATGAATGATTTTGTTCTTTGGTATTTGCTCAAGCACTTATTACAATACTCAAACCCCAAGGTAAAATTTTTGACAAGATAGTATATGAATACTATAAAACTCATATTCAATAGCTTCTATATTTTGCATTATTTCTAGCCACGAGTATTAATGGATTGTTTATTGTTTCTAGAACCAGCAAAAATAAAGTCGATATCAGCTAATTTTAATGCTGATTACAAATTCATTTTCTATTATAATTTTGCAAAATTTATGTCCGAAACCTGATATTAGATGATATATATAATTTTGACCCAAAGGCTACTAAGTTGTGAGTAAATTTAAGTAATGAAAAGTTAATGAAATTTGAATCTATTATGGAAATAGTGTTTTAGTGACGCTGATAGTCCTAGCAGATTTACAGGCACCAGGAGATTAGTGGTGAAACAACATCAATCCATACAAGGTTAGTGCATAATCCTATTTTTAACTTCCCATAGGGCAAGGTAAAATTTTTACATTTCTCGACGTTTTGAAAGTTTCTAAACATTTTGGCATACCTCAGAAAAAATGGATGGGTGTGTGTGTGTGTGGATACAATTTTTCGGTCACGTTTTCAGGCGCACAGATCAACCGATTTGAAAGGTTCAAAAAACATTCGATTGCTATTTATAGGGAGATATGCTGATTAGTTTTTGGCAAAGACTGGTCCAGCCGTTACGGAGATACCGAGCCAAGAGTGCAGAAAATACAAATCGACTTCTTGAGAGAACGGTGTATATGATTTGAATGATCTAAAAAACTTTTAATTTCTAATGTGTGGGAGAAGAGGTAATTAGTTTTTGGCAAAGGCAGGTCCAGCCATTTGGAAGGTACAGAGCTAAATGTACAAAAAATGGCAGTTTTTGAGAGAACTAAGCAGCCGATTTGAATGATTCAAAGAACTTTTTGCTTGTTTTCACAAAATAATAATAGTTTTTAGAAAAAAAAAAGTTTTAATTTTTTTTCCAAAAATTTTATTTGTGTATATCAAAAATAATTCAGATTTTAATTTTAATTTTGACTAAAGTTCTAATACACTTCAAACAAATAATTTCAACTTTGCAATTCAGTTTTTAAAATTGTTATAAATATTAGACAATGTTACAATATTTTAATAATCTAGTTGAAAACATTTAATATTCCTCGAACATTTCGGTACGGTATGGAAAGTTCCAGCAATTTGCCTTAAGGCACAATGCCATACACCACTAGTTTATTAATATATTACAGAATAATTAAACAAATAAATAAAATATCCAACCTTTAATAAAAAATTACATGTGGATTCACCACATTATTACAATATTTACAATATAAAACATTATTAAAATACAATATTTACATGAGTAGTTGATAATACTCATTATTGTTACCTGTTTATTTATCTTTATAATATTTATATATAAATTGTTATAATAGTATTTATTTTGTTGTACAAAATTAATGTCTTTCAATAAGATAAACCTTTATTGCAAGGTCTCTTTCGGTGACCATTATTGCATATTTAATATTTGTTATTACACTCCTGTATGAGTGTCCATGTGCTTTTTCAGATTATCGGCTCGTGTAAATGTCTTATCACATACATCACATTTATGGGAGTCTTCCCCACTGTGAACAAGCATATGTCGTTTCATGCTAGAATAATGAGCAAAAGTCTCATTGCATATTTCACAAGTATGTAGTTGTTTCCCACTGTGTACCAGCATATGTCTTTTCAGGTGAATGAGTTGCGTGAATGTCTCATAACATGTTCCACATTTATGGGGACGATCTGCAGTGTGAATGAGCATGTTTTTTCAAACTTCATGAATGTTTGGATAAAGAACAGCCATGCGTTTTTTCATGACCTTTATTGCATATTTATTATTTGTTATTACTCTCCTGTATGAGTGTCCATGTGCTTTTTCAGATTATTGGCTCGTGTAAAAGTCTTGTCACATACATCACATTTATGGGAGTCTTCCCCACTGTGAACGAGCATATGACGTTTCATGCTAGAATAATGAGCAAAAGTCTCATTGCATATTTCACAAGTGTGTAGTTGTTTCCCACTGTGTACCAGCATATGTCTTTTCAGTTGTATTTGTTGTGTGAATGTCTCATAACATGTTTCACATTTATGGGGACGATCTCTAGTGTGAATGAGCATATGTTTTTTCAAGCTACAGGAATGTTTGAATGTCTTATCACATGTTTCACATTTATAGGAGCTTTCCCCACCGTGAACGAGCATGTGCCTTTTTAAACAATATAAATGTGTGAATGTCTGATTGCATATTTCACAATTATGGGCGCGTACACCGCTGTGAATTGGCATATGTTTTTTTAAGCTGCTCATTCGGGTGAATGTCTGGTTACAAATTATGCATTTGTATTGTCGTTCACCACTGTGAATCAGCATATGTTGTTGCAGGTTCCTGGATTGTGAGAATTTCTTATCACATACTTTACATTTATTGGGGGAATCCTCACTGTGAATGAGCATGTGTTGTTTTAAGTTACGTGGATGCATGAATGTTTTATCACATACTTGGCATTTATAAGGGGTTTCTGCACAAATATTTTGGTCTGCATTATCATTGAAGTTTAAAGTTTGTTCCTCGGCTTGAGCACAAACGTGTTGATCTAAATGATTTTTCATAGTGAATCCTATATTGCATATTGTGCATACAAAAGGTTTTTCCTCTGCATGAGTTTTCAGATGTAGTTTCAGTGCATTTGCATCTAAAAAGGTTGTTGAACAATATATACATTCACTTTTATGAACTGCTTGATGTTTTTTAAAATTATTTCGCTTTGTGAACGATCTATTGCACACCTCACACTTATAACGAGCAGTCTGATTTACTTTTTGTTTGTCTTCTTCAAGGCATGTTTCTTCATCTTTTGAACAAGATTCAGGCTCTTCCTCTATTTCCCATTTAATGTCTTCGAATAGAAATTCTGGGGGTTCAATTTTTATTTCCGGAACACTGGTGAAGGCAGTTGTTGCTTCTGACATTTTAAGATAGTTGCACTATAGAAAGTACTTTTATCCTATCATTTTGCTCCTCCTGTCATCACGAATGTTTAAATTTATTTCTCATGAAACTTTTGTTGTAGAATCTAATTTACAATAAACTTGTTCTGTAATTTTACCTTAAGTTGGAAGAAGTCTAATTTGCACAATTTATGGAAACAAAATGATTTTTTCTTCAAGACACTTTATATTTGACAGATAGGGAAATTGACACAACTTCTTGTTATAATCTTTTATTTTATTATAAAGCTGAAATATAAAAGTTAGAATTCAGTTCTATTTATTCCTTGCATACTTTTATCAGAAATTAAATATTTATAGTTCATTTTGTATAAATTAAATTTAATAAAAATTACCCCTGTGATCTAACCTACATGTATTTTATGTTTATCAATTTATCACTGCACTCGTACACTACTATTTATATTTAAATTTATTAATTTATAATATATTTATTATTACTTTTAATCTATAACTTTGTGTAATAATTAAATAACTAAATAAATATGTTTTGTTTATTTCATAGTCATTCATTAGTCTGTTTGACAGCTGCACAACATTTCAGCGTCACCAACATAAAAATATTTCTAATTTTGAAAAAATTTTGTTTTAAAAATAAATTTCGTTATTTCTTTATGCATTAATTAATGCCGTTAATAATAATTAAATCACGATTTAATGATGAAAATCGAAAATGAAAAATTTTATATATCTTTACGTTTCAGAGGTTTCTGAACATTTTGGCATTACCTTAGAAAAAATCAATGTATGTGTGTGTGCGGATACAATATTTTCGTCGACGATTTCGAGAACACGGATGAACCGATTTAAATAATTCAAAAAACATTCGATTTGTATTGATAAGGAGAAGTGTTGATTAGTTTTTGTCTAAGGCAAGTCCAGCCATTTCGAAGATACGGGACAAAAAGTGCAAAAAATGGTAATTCAGTTTTTGAGAAAACGGAGCGTCCGATTTGAATAATTCAATAAATATTCTATTCATAATGATGGGGATAAGTGTGCACCATGGCGATTAGTTTTTAGCAAAGACAGGTCAAGTCGTTTCAAAGATTGTTGAAATCATCAGATGCTTAGTTCTCTCAAAAACTGCTATTTTTTGCATATTTAGCTCCGTATCTCCGAAACGACTGGACCTGTCTTTGCCAAAAACTAATCCCCACTTCTCGTCATTATTACCAATTGAATATTTTTTGGATCATGAAAATCGGACGATTAGTTCTTTTAAAAACTGCTATTTCTATTTTCTGTTTTCTTTGCTCTGTATCAACGAAACGGCTGGACCTGCCTTTGCCAAAAACTAATCTCCACTTCTCGTCATCATTACGAATTGAATATTTTTTTGGATTATTCAAATCGGATGCTCCGTTCTCTCAAAAACTCGATTTTTATTTTCTGCACTCTTTGCTCCGTATCTCCGAAATAGCTGGACCTGCCTTTGCCAAAAACTAATTAGCACATCTCTCTATCAAAGATCCCGTGCGACCGAAATCGTGGACGAAAACTAAGTTATAGTAATCGCAAAAAAAATCGAAAATAAGAATTTGTATATATCCAAATTTACGTTTCAAAACTTTCTGAACATTTTTGCAAATATTAGAATAAATTGATGTATATGTGCGTGTGCTGGTATACGGATATAAATTTTCGTCGACTATTTTGGGAACATGTTTCAACCGATTTGAATGATTCAAAAAACCATTCGATTCCTATTGATAAGCAGACGTGCTTATTAGTTTTTGGACAAAGCAGGTTCAGCCGTTTCGGAGGTAGGGAGCAAGAAAGCAGTAAATAGAAATCGAGTTTTTGAGAGAATGGAGCATCCGATTTGAATGATCCAAAAAACATTCAATTTGCAATGATGGGGAAAAGTGGTGATTAGTTTTTGGCAAAGGCAGGTCTAGCCGTTTCGGAGGTACGGAGCTAAATGTGCAAAAAATAGCAGTTTTGAGAGAACTTCCAAAATATTTCAAAGCATAGGATAAATCAAATTTTTTAAAAAGGTAAATTTTTTCCAAATATTTTAACCCCTTCCACTAGATGTCGCCGCTCCGGCGTAAAATTCATATTAATTTAGGAATTAGCGAGTGGAAAGGGTTAAAAAAAATTAAAAATCGATTTTTATTTTTCAAAGTTCTAATCAAAATTGAGTTTTTTTTAAATTATTATTTGTTACCGCTGGTTTATTATTTTATTAATAATATTGTAATATCTATAAATATTAATAATAAATTATTTGTATTTCATAGTCGATAGTATGTCATCACTGCAATATATCGCTAAAGCTCGTATGTCAGGATGGCCGAGTGGTCTAAGGCGCTGCGTTCAGGTCGCAGTCCACTTCTGTGGGCGTGGGTTCGAATCCCACTTCTGACAAATTATTTTTTATATTTTTTTTATTACAAAATTAATAATTCTTATTATTATTATTTATATTTTATCTATAAATAATATTTTATATTAATAACAACAGTAATTAATTATGACTTTGTAATAATAAATATATAACTAGTGGGATGTATGGCATCGTGCCTTAAGGCAAATTGCTAGAACTTCCCGTACCGTAACGAAAGGTCCGAGGAATTTTGAAAGTTTTCAAATAGATTATTATAAATATTGTAACATTGTCTAATATTTATAAGAATTATATAAACTGAATTGCAAAGTTGAAATTATTTATTTAAAGTATATTAGAACTATAGTCAAAATTAAAAATTAAATGTGAATTACTTTCGATATACAAAAAATTTTTTTTTGAAAAAAAAAATAAAGTTGAAACAATTTTTTTTCCAAAATCAATTATTTTGTTAAGATAAGCAGAGTGTTCTGAATCATATAACTCGGACGCTTAGTTTTCTCAAAAACTGCCATTTTTTACACATTTAGCTTCGTTTCTTCGAAATGGCTGGGCCTGCCTTTGCCAAAAACTAATAACCACTTCTCCCAATCATTACTAATTGAATGTTTTTTAGAACATTCAAATTGGATGCTCCGTTCTCTCAAAAATTCGATTTCTATTTTCTGCACTCTTTGCTCTTTATCTCCGTTACTGCTGGACCTGCCTTTGCCAAAAACTAATCAGATCGTCTTCTTATCAATACGAATCGAATGTTTTTTGAATGATTCAAATCGCTTCATCCATGTTCCCGAAATCGTCGACGAAAATTTGTATCCGCACACACACACATACACGCACATACACACACACACATACATCCATTTTTTCTAAGGTATGCCAAAATGTTCAGAAGGTTTTGAAACGTAAAGATATATAAAAATTTTCATTTTCGATTTTTTTGAGATTACTATATGACTTGCCCTACGGGAAGTTTACGACGGCGATTTTACATTCTTTTCAATAATTTAAATAAATAATTAGGGAATAGCATTATTTTTTGAAGATATATATGTTAACAATAATATGAATTACAGGTTATTTTTTAAATTAATAAGTAAAGTAATAAATATTTACTACTATTAATTGATAATGAATAAATGCATAACTTACATTAAACTTGATAAATTGAAGATAAAAGAAATAAAATTGCATAAATATTTTTATTTACATATATTTAATTAATACATGCTGAAAAATATTATTGTAGTTCAAAGCAATATAAAATGTTTAAAATTTATTCTATAACTTAAAAGAAATGTAAAGAATTGTGGAAAAGTCAATGAGTATTAATAATTTTCAAAAATTTTAGGTACTATGAAGATACACTTGCAGGATTATAGGACATTTTAAAACTTTATTTAGAACATTTTTCACTTTGTGGAAGACGAGATACAATTTGTAACCAAAATTTATACTGAAGATACTGGAACATGTAGTTTAAACTATTAGCATAACAATTATTATTAAAAAATAATTGTATTCATAGATAAAAAGAAGAGTATATTGTACTATATGTATGTTTGTATTATTGTACAAAATTTATTCTTGAAACTTGTCTAATGTAAGTTAAAATTGTTTATTGATTATAGTTTTCAAGTAATTAACAGTAATATAAAAAAGTGTATTAATGCAGGTGTTTTTAAAGTACGCACTATATGCAGATGTTTTATAATTATTTATCATTGTAACCTTTAAAAACAAAGAGTATTAAGCGAATTTAAAAATTTTAGTTTTAAAATTTGAATTTCGCGCCTTCGACTTTGTCACTTTGATTAGTTTCGTACTTCATGGCAGTTCGTTCTTGATGGCCGCCATTTTTATAGAGAATTTTGTGACAGATGTGTGCAAATTAATTAATTAGTGATTTTAATTGTTTTTCTAATTAGTTGTTATTAATTTATGCATTATATTGTTCTACTAATTATGCACATCATTTTGATATAAAATTCGTGTGTAATGATATGTTTTTAGAGCAGATACGTACCGAGGTTCTTCACCCTTAACCTATCTCTGTCAAAATTTTTAATTCTAATTAATCATTTAATCAAATACTTTATTTACAGCTTCCAATGTATCCTTTATATTTATTCATATATGCAATTGTCAAATATGTCAAGTATGTAAGATTCGAAAGGCTGCAAGTACTTCTGTGATGTATCTGTATTTTTTCAAATCTAGGTCACAAAATTCTCTAAAGAGTTCGTTGCTTTGTTGTTCGTCGTGTCGTGTGTTGAGTCACGAAGACTCCACTTGGACATTTACAAATTATAAATTAAGTTTATAAAGTCAGTGATCAAAGTAGTGTGATGTAGTGATTCACAAATGTTCAGCTCTGGAGCTTCTAGCAGATGCTTTGGAGGATTCATTTTGAGGAGGAGACTTGGATTTAATTCCTAGCAACCTGTGGAAGCGTCAATGTGAGTCCAAGCAACCTTTATACATCGACGAGTCAATGAATACTTTTCTGAAATCATAAACAGGAATTTATCGTTAAACAAATAATGCACTGATAAACTGATTCTAAAACATATAACAAATAATTTCTTGCATTTGTATTGTATAAATCAAAACAGCCTGTATGTATTTCAGTGAATATTTGCTGACTCATGCACATAGAACTTATGCTACATGGACTGCTAATATTCGTATTTTTTCCATTGTATCCATTCATTGTTTTTCTAGAAATGATATTAATAATTGCCATTATATTATTGAAATGAAACTATAACGGATAATACTTGAATTACTTTGTCTTTTTTTTTTATTTATTTATTTATTTGATATAATTCGTGCATACTGTATCTCAGTCAGACAATTGTTCTGGTATGAGACATCACAACAATTATAACAAAAATAAATCTAAATTTTATGTTAACAGACTTACATTAAGGCATCTATATATTTTTACTTATTACTATTATACACACATATATGCACAGAACGCTTGCTTACATACCTACATACATACTTATACCTAATTGTAATTAATGACTATCATGATGAATATTATTAATATAATTTCTTACAAAATTATCAGTCATCAGTCAATTATTATGATATTATTGAAATAAAACATATGACATTTAATCAGTTGTGAGAGTTTCACAGTCCCTTCTATTTTTACACATTTATTTAGCGCTCGACTAGCAGCCCATGTTGTATAAAGTTTATACTTGTGCATCTTTAGTCTTTTATGCACATGTATCTGCTAAATGTTTATTTATTTATTTAAAATAATTGCATAGTAATATTATTGATACAGACGCTTATGTCTAAAGTTTAAATTCATATTTTTTTAATTGGAGCTCATATATTAGATAATCTATTTAATAAATGTTTATATTTGACATGATATTTTGCTTAACTATATTTTGTCATTGTTTTTGCAATTCTAAATACAAATAAAATACAATTTATCTCAAGTACTACTTTAGCAGACGTATGTGCAAAAATGTCGAATATCACTTGCATATCTATCTGATAGACGCACTTTGTTTAATTGTTAAACTTGCAAGTGATGTTCTGTATACATAAAAATGTTTTTAAACAATTCACTACAGGGAAAACACATTGATTCATTTTTGTTATCAATTTTAAAAATCAATATAATACAGTTTTTGCTTCTCGTATACATTTGTTAACCTTAATTTATTTTCATTATACTTGCATAAATAATAAATTAAAAGAAAAGGTTTCTCTGAGATCTTCTTGTAAAAGTAATATGACTTGATTTGGTTTCATTTATTTGTTGAGCAACTTTTATCTGAATATCATTTGTGTAAGGGATATGCAAAATGGGTCCTGACATCCCTCCTTGTGCAATTCCTGAATTAATGGTATTTCAGATGAAACTTTAGTTCTGTTGAATCTGTATATCAGATAACATTTCAACAACAAATATATCTCACACGGCAAAGATTTTTATTTTATTTTATAAAGCTAAAGTTATTTACCTTTATATTTACAAAATTCTTCATTTTACAAAGCTTTGTTGATGTTGTTTGTTATTCTCTGGTAAAGAATTTTAGAATTACATTTCTAGTATCAAATTCATGTGTTCTCCCTATAGTGATATTGACTGCATGTACATTTTTATTAATGATAACACGATTGTTGGTTTTGATCAAAATATTTAAGACTCAATTATGACATTCCTAATTATTATTGATTAAATGCAACTTTCAAAAGACTTTCATTGTAATTTTATTTTAAATTAATTTGATTATATTGCTGCATAGTTAAATTATAGATTTTTATTCTTTTATTGCTAAAAACAATTTTGATCAGGACATGCAATCGAAGTTTCGAACAGTTGACTTGAATGATTAGACAAAACATAATTTTGTTTACAAGTTTATTATTTGATTCAAGTTTTAAAAATTATCTATCTCAATTTTTAAATTTAACAATGAGGTTTTTAACAGTTTTGATATTTTTAATTTTCAAGTTTTTGAACATTTTTTAATACTTCATTTTACAAGTTTTGTTGAATTTCTTTTATAAATTTTTTTCAATACTTTGTATATTGTTCAAGTCAACGACATTTGTTTTTGTCTTGAATAATCGTAAAGGTTTCACATGCTCAGTAATTTTTATTCATTCAAGATCATTTCTTCGATTTGATTAACATCAATCCAACTTTTAATTAAAGAATCCTTCCGATTAATTTTATTAAAACAATATATATTGAAACCTTTTCGATTATGACAGACGAGTTATTTATGCATGCTATATCATCTCGAAGCCAACATTTGAATGAATGAGAACCACATTGAAATTTTCAAGACGAGAAAGTTTTATTGGGGCATATTTAAAAATTTTAACTAAGTTTTTTTTAACTAAGTCCCAGTAATTCTTTCTCGTTGCGAAAATTTCAAAGTGGACCTTATTTCATTCGAGTGTTGGCTTTGGGAATTGGTGTGAGGGAACACTAAAAAACATAAAAAAGTTTCAACGCTGAACAGAAAAGAGAAAAATTGATCTGGGACTTAGGGGTTTTTTTTGGTCCCTCCTCCCCCTCCTTCCTTCTTCCCTCCTCCTTTTCCCGCTTTTTTCGCTTTTTTCACATTTTTTTTCCTTTTTGGTGTTGTTTTTTGGTAGATTTTAGGGTTCGGCATGACTCGTCCGCAATGTGTCTCTCTGTGTGTAACCTCTCGCATCATGAATCTCAGGTTGACCATCACTTCGTGTGTTCGTTTCAGGACCCTCTGCGTCTGCCAACAGCCAGCCACCAGCACTGCTCTATTTTTTCAGCTTCAGAGTTGGTCGTCGTCGCCTCCAGCCGGATTCGATCCCCTCACCTTCTGCCTCCAGATTGATGTCACCGAGTACGCGGTCACCTTAACCACTCGGCTATTTGTTATATTGATGATAATAGTTATTTTTATATTCTTATAATGTATTAATATTGAATTTGAATAAAGTATATGTATCATACACATCTCTCTTATTCATCCATCTGCCTCTACCCTTCTCTTTCCCCCCGTTCTTCTGCTACCTTGGTCATCTTTCTCTTACAGTCAAGTGCGAGCCAAGTCAAGTTTTTTGTTTTTCAGAAATATTCTAAGTGTCAAGGTCGAACTAATATTTGATATTTATGAAAAACTAGACATTTGATTTTTCAAGCATCTTTGGGATTTGAACCGAGAAACACCGAGCAACCGTAGTGGTAACTTAACGGTCTCGGCCAACTGGCTATACAGAAACTTTATCTATTTCTAGAAATATAAAGTCTATTGCCGTTAAAGTCGCCCAACAACCGTTGCTAAACATTTTCTGTAAATATTTTTACGATTGTCGTTGCCATGGTAACCGTTGTTAACATTTTTCTAGATATGGTTCGTAAAGATAATACAGTACAAAGAAACCTGAATAATTTCTTATATTAGAAATGAGAACAAAATATATGAAGTACAAAATATATTTTCAAATATATCACAAACATATTTTTACATAACAATTAAATTAAAATTAGTAGTGACATGTTATAAATGTAAAAATTATTATACTTAACAAGAAGTATTATAATTTTACAATTGTAATTAGTTGGCGTTTTTTCTATTTTCAAAAATTTAATAAATTACCGAAATAATTTAACGTAATTTAAATAAAATATTAAAGAATGTGTATTATGTTTGAAATTACACTGAAGATGAGGTATAACATGGTCTCGAAACGTCGGTAATTACCAAATAAAATGTGTGTTAAAAATCTGAGTGTTGTATTGTTCATATTCAAAATTTAATATTCGGTTCCACTCATATCACAAAATTCTATAATATATATATATATATATATATATATTATAACAAATGTATTCTGAGTGGATAGTAGATATTAATTTGGAAATATGAACAAACAACACTCTTTTTGCACTAATTTATTAAATAATAATTTTCACAAACGTTTCGAGACTAGATTTGTCTCATCATCAGTGTGTTATAATTTAAGATTTAAAATATGGAAACCTAAATTAGCATTTTGTGTTATCCATTACAAGTCGCTCGATACACGTTGTTTGTTCATATTTCCAAATTAATTTATTTGTATAATTTTTACAACGACATAAACAAACAGAATTAATACTGTTACTGAATATAAAGAATAACTTATTATTAATATTGTTTGTGTTCTTTATAATACTGAATTTTTTTTTAACATTAATAGTTATTTGAATAGTGGATATTATCTTATCACTTGCCAATTATAGCACCCAATTTGGAAATCCTGGAGTTGGTGTATTGCTCGTTGTCGTTGTTGACTTCGTGGTGGTGGTTGGTTCTTCTGTGGTTGTAGTCGGTCTAAACATAATAAAGATTTGGTTAATAGAATTATATAATAAAAGTAATAATTTGTTCATAGAATTCAGAAAATTCCAAACAATGTATAAGCATATATTATATATTAGATTTAATATTAAAATTACAGTAGTCTCACACATAAAACGATTTATTAAATGAATATGATTTAATATCTCCGAAATATAGTAAAAAAACTCTGATGTTTTTTTTAAACCTGCTTTGGTTTGAGACTAAACCAACTCCTCGCGCTGTCAATACGAACAGAATGGCTTTCGAACCATCAAAATCGGTTCAGTCGTTCTCTGAAATATAGCATATGAAGTACTCTACCACTCTACTACTAGAAAAAATCTGACAATTTTATTTAAACCTGCTTTGGTTTAATTAACTAAAACTAAACTAAGTCCTCGCGCTGTCAGTACCAATAGAATGGCTTTCGAACCATGAAAATCGGTTCAGTTGTTCTCTCAAAAAATAGAAATATAGCATATGAAGTACTCTACTATGAGCAGGAAGTCTGGAAACTAACTACTAGTAAAAAAATCTGATGATTTTATTTAAACCTGATTTGTTTTGAAACTAACCAAGTACTCGCGCTGTCGACACGTATAGAATGGCTTTCGAACCATCAAAATCGGTTCAGTCGTTCTCTCAAAAAATAGAAATATAGTATATGAAGTACTCCACTACTAGTAAAAAAAATCTGATGATTTTATTTAAACCAGCTTTGTTTTAATAAACTAAAACTAGTACCAATAGAATGGTTTTCGAACCATCAAAATCGGTTCAGTCGTTCTCTCAGAAGTAAGTATAAAATATTATATAAAGTACTCTACTACTAGTAAAAATATCTGATGACTTTATTTGAACCTGCTTTGGTTTAATTAACTAAAACTAAACTAAGTCCTCGCGCTGTCGATACGAATAAAATGGCTTTTAAACTATCAAAATCGGTTCAGTCGTTCTCCCAAAGAATAGAAATATAGCTAGTAAAAAATCTGATGATTTTATTTAAACTTGCTTTGGTTTAACTAACTAAAACTTAACTAAGTCCTGGCGCTGTCAGTACCAATAGAATGGTTTTCGAACCATCTAAATCGGTTCAGCCGTTCTCTCAAAAATAGAAATATCGCATATAAAGTACTCTACTATGAGCAGGAAGTCTGGAAACTAAACCAAGTCTTTGCAATACAGAAATCTAATGCTTGTTGAACTATCCGATCATAATCGGTTTAGCAGTTTTCTTTAAAAATAAATGATTGCCTTTGAAGAGCACCAGTGTGATCAGGAAGCATGGACATAAAGATATGAAAGTTAACTGGATACTGTCATTAGTATCAAAAATACTTTGAATCATCAAAATAGCTTCAGCAATTTCTCCAAAAGACGGAATAAAATAATAACAAGTACTCCAAAACGATCAGGAAGTCCGGAGAAAAAAAAAAGTTATACTTTTTTTAAAATAAAATATATATTATATTAATTAAAAAACTCAACAAAACAACTTATGGCATCTTGATCGTTTTGAAGTACTTTATGTACGAAGTTTCTGATTTTTTGAAAAACGTCTGAACAGATTTTGATCATTCAAATACCATTGGATTCGTATCGACACCATAAAATGTTAGACTAGTGGTCAGTGATCATTTTGGAGTACTTACAAAATTATTCATGGTGAGCTGTACAAAGTAATGTGAAATTAATGTACTAGTGAATACGGCTGAACCGATTTTGATGATTCAAATGATTATCAAATGCCATTCAGCTCGCATTGACAGTACGGAATCTTAGTACAGTGACCAGACCTCCTGATCTTTGTAAAATTTACGTCTGGAGCATAGCTCTGTACGGATCAGAGACATAGACTCTAAGAAAAGTCGTCAAGAAATACTTGGAAATTTTTGAAATGTGGTGCTGGAGGCTGATGGAGAAGATAAAGTGGACTGACAAGATAATAAAAAAGTCTTGAAAAAGGTGGGCGAAGAAAAGACTCTACTGAAAAAAAAAAGGAAACTGGATTGGATCCGTTCTGCAAAAAAAGTGCCTCCTGCACGTCGTCGTCGAGGGTAGAACAGAAGGAATAAAAGGATTGGAAGAAAGAGAATGCAGATGGTTGATGACTTACGCGAGAAGAGAAAATACAGGGAACTGAAAGCCGTGCAGGATCAGGAAGCATGGAAGCAAAGATTTGGAAAGGTAAATACATAAAAATATGTAAAAAGTGGTAATGGGAATTATAGACGATGAAGGGTAATCCTTACATCATTTATTTATGGTGGCTCACACCTTGAACCTGTCTTCTGGCACACTATTACTAATTTACTACCATATATTACTCTTTCCACTAACATTTCCGTGGTTGGCATCTCCGTCGTCGTCGTTGGTACCTCTGTAGTCGTCGTTGGCATCTCTGTTTGGTTGTTGTAGTGTCCATTCCCGTGGTCTGCGTCGTGGTCTCCTCGGTCGGCCACCTTGCGGTTGTCGTTGTAGTAGTTGTTGGTGGTTGTGGTTGGCTTCTTCAGCAGGGTTCCAGCAGCAGCAGGGACTCCATCAAGGGCTGCTGGAACTCTATCAAAGGCTCCAGGGACTCCATCAAGGGCTGCAGGGATTCCATCAAGGGCTGCAGGGATTCCATCATCTGGTGATGCATCTTGTGTTGTGGTGTCATCTTGAGAACTGCCCCAAAGGGAGAAGAAGGTCGGCCAACCATGGACGAATGAAACTGAGAGTAATAGGCAGAGCTAGAAGAAAATCAATGAATTTATTGTTTTAGTTGGTGCAATCCAGTAAACACCGAGTGAAAGTAGCAATCTGAAATCCACATAAATTCCACATCGGTGTCACAGCGCTGAAGTCACGCTTGTGGATTTCAGATAGAATTCAAATCACACGGTGTTTACTGCAAACTTTATATTTCAAATCATTAGTTAATATAAATTTAATATATTAAAGATATTTACTATTAACTTCATTTCTATGCTGCGTTGTGTTTTAGAGTTGTCTTTATTAATTAATTAATTTAAATAATTATACAAGTTCAAGATTCATTTTTATACTTGCTTATCTTATCTGTAACGATTGTCAATTACAATTATCATAATCTTATAATTATTTAAATATTTATTTGCATATTATTAAAGTAATGACGTTTGAAATGAAAAGGAGGCCTCTCAAAGTCTAGTAATTTTAAAAATTTTGAATTTATAATTGAAAAAAAAAGTCTTAATCTTTGTGCAATTGTGCTATCATTTTTACTGTGGTCCTAGAAATGTTATTCAGAGTTATGGTTCCAAAGTTTAAATGAATTAAATTAATAAAAAATTAACTACAGTAACCAAAATTAGTCATAATTTCTTCAAAAGTCTAGGTTGCACTTAAAAGCCCATAATTTCCAAATTTTCTAATTCTTTTTCAGGAGAGTTAAGATCAATACTATCACCCCGTTTCGGCTTAACGTTAAGTTCTGGGACACCCTATATACATAATGGGATAATACACAAATTGAATCTACGTTTAATTCTGACCGCCTCAGGAACTTAGTATATCAGATTAATTGCTTTAATTGCGAACTTTTTTATATCGGAAAAAATACCAAGCAATTCAAGACTATGTTAACCGAATACAAAAATAATTTCAACCATAACATAGATTTTTTCAAGCCAAAAATTTTAGATTTTGAAGAGAACGTAATTAAAAGAAAATTCGCTTAGGGGTTGTTTCTGCAAATGCATAACAACAGGGTCATAAACAAACAATTTGACAACAAGGCCCTGAACGAAACAAACACGTGATTCCTAAATAGCGTGTCAAAATTTCTTAAAAAATGACAAGATTTCATCGCTTTTTTAATTTCCTCGTAAAATTTGAACATATGTTAAGAACTGCTTCAAGAAAAAACGTGACATTTCTATCTTAGAAGAATCCGAATAGTCAATACATAGTTTCGACAACTTATTAAAAGTTACTCATGTTTATTTATGTGTTTTGCCATTTGTGATGTTAAAAACTATATATTTTACCACTGTGCACATACTCATACCATGGAGTAATAATGTTTTCGTCTGTTATATTAGGATACAAAATTGTTAGTGTTTTTTTATTATTATTATTGATTTTCTTACAAAATTTCTTACAAATTATTTATTTAGTGTTCATTTTTATAGTTAAATTGATTGCCACTGAATGAAGGCTAAGATGCTAGCCGAAACGTATGGATTTTAAATAATTTTCTAAAGGCTCTTAATCTTGATTCCATGATGAATAGGATTTAATTAGATGTTAAGTAATTTATAAATATTCTTATGTGTCATAATATTTGAGTTCTTTGAATACTATACAGATGGCGCAAGAATTTATTTAATGACGTATGTTAATAACAAATATAAGAAACTTTCTAGAAAATTTAAGAATACTATTAAAGAGTCATTTTTTATTCATTTGTAAGCATTGGCGCCCTTGGGAGCAATAAAATTCGAAAATGTCCTTGTTAAGGACCACCCTAATATATATATATATATATATATATATATATATATATATATATAATACACACGATAATTTTACAAGTGAACTTGAAAAACATGTTTACGACATCTCTTGTTTATTTAAACGAACTTCAACTTAAAGCGGATTATTAAATCTGCAAACAAGGTCGATTTAAATTACTTTATTATCTAAAATTTAACAAAAACTAAGATAAGATAAAACATTTGATATATCATCTTGCAGGTCATATATAAATAAATAAAATACGCACTCACCATTGACATGTTCCACTCATCACTGTATTCATGAAAAATCTATGCACCCTGATACCAAAAACGATTACCTAAAACATATAATAATAAAATTATGACAAATAATAATTTTATTAATGACTATTAATAAAAACTTACCTTCTTCAACAGTGGCGACATCTTTTGGCTGAAAATTTGACTACAGAGTCATCTGGAGGAGTTTTAAGGAACATTTTGTTTTGTAAAAAAAATTACGTGTTACACAAAGTACAGTAGTAATTTTTTGCGTATAAATACAGTTAAATGCAACAGGCTTGTATTACTAATTTTGCTCGTATGAAGAAGAAAACGAGCCGTGCTTTCGGCAGCTCGTATCTCAAAAATCTTGTACGAGGAGTCACTCGTAAGGCGGGGTACCACTGTATATAAACAAAAAGTTTGTACAATACAAAAGGAGGTCAAATGTTCCTTTATGATCAGAAGACTCGGCCTCTTTAACGATTCAGATTTAAGTACTCCATAGTGATCAGAAGGTCTGGAAAATAATCTAAGAGCCCCCACAGTAAATACCAATCGAACTGTTTTCGAACCATCAAAATCTATTCAGTCGTCGTCACAAAAAATTCGATAAAGTTTGTATAACACACTTAGAACTGACTTTAGAAGTACTCCACAAAGATAAGGAAGTCTGGAAGCTCAAGTAAAGGCTCTCTCAAACACGCAAACACCAAATGCTCCCTAACTACCAAAAAACACGGACTCTTTGACGATTTAGAGGTTACAAAATCAAACTATTTTGGTATAAATAATAAAAACTCGATATATTTTTTTATAACACACAATGATTGACCTTAGAAGTACTCCAAAATGATCAGGAGGTCTAGAAACTGGAAAGGCTCCCTCAAAACCGCAAACCAAATGCTTTTCAACTACGAAAAAACACGGACTCTTTGACGATTTAGAGGTTACAAAATCAAACTATTTCGGTATAAATATAAATAAATAAAAACTCGATATAAATTTTTTATAACACACAATGATTGACCTTAGAAGTACTCCACAATGTTCAGGAAGTCTGGAAGCTAGAGTAAAGGCTTTCTCAAAACCGCAGACACCAAATGCTCCTTAACTACCAGATAACACGGACTCTTTGATGATTTAGAGGTTACAAAATCAAACTACTTCGATATAAATAATTAAAAACTCGATATAAATTTTGTATAACACACAATGATTGGCTTTAGAAGTACTCCACAATGATCAGGAAGTCTGGGAGCTAAGTAAAGACTCTCTCAAAACTGCAAACATCAAATGTCCCTTTCCTACGGACTCTTTGACGATTTAGAGGTTACAAAATCAAACTATTTCGATATAAATAATTAAAAACTCGATATAATTTTTTTATAACACACAATGAATGGCCTTAGAAGTACTCCACAAAGATCAGGAAGTCTGGGAGCTAAAATAAAGGCTCTCTCAAAACCGCAAACACCAAATGCTCCTTAACTACCAAAAACACGGACTCTTTGACGATTTAGAGGTTACAAAATCAAACTACTTCGATATAAATAATTAAAAACTCGATATAATTTTTTATAACACAAAATTGATGGACTTCAGAAGTACTCTACAAAGATCACAAAGTCTGGGAGCTCAAGTGAAGGCTCTCTCAAAACCGCAAACACCAAATGCTCCTTAACTACCAAAAACACGGACTCTTTGACGATTTAGAGGTTACAAAATCAAACTACTTCGATATAAATAATTAAAAACTCGAAATAAATTTTTTATAACACAAAATTGATGGACTTCAGAAGTACTCTACAAAGATCACAAAGTCTGGGAGCTCAAGTGAAGGCTCTCTCAAAACCGCAAGCACCAAATGCTCCTTAACTACAAAAAAACGGACTCTTTGACGATTTAGAGGTTACAAAATCAAACTACTTCGATATAAATAAATAAAAACTCGAAATAAATTTTTTATAACACAAATTGTGGACTTCAGAAGTACTACAAAGATCACAAAAGTCTGGGAGCTCAAGTGAAGGCTCTCTCAAAACCGCAAGCACCAAATGCTCCTTAACTACAAAAAAACGGACTCTTTGACGATTTAGAGGTTACAAAATCAAACTATTTCGATATAAATAATAAAAACTCGATATAAACTTATTATAACACACAATTATTAATCTTAGAAGTACTCCACAATGATCAGGAAGTCTGGGAGCTAAAGTAAAGGCTCTCTCAAAACCACAAACACCAAATGCTCCTTAACTACCAGATAACACGGACTCTTTGACGAATTAGAGGTTACAAAATCAAACTATTTCGATATAAACAATAAAAACTCGATATAAATTTTTATAACACACAATGATTGACCTTAGATGTACTCTCTCAAAACTGCAAACATCAAATATTCCTTCCCTGCGGACTCTTTGACGATTTAGAGGTTACAAAATCAAACTCGATATAATTTTTTTATAACCACCAATGATTGACTTTAGAAGTACTCCATAATGATCAGGTAGTCCGGGAGCTAAAGTAAAGCTCTCTCAAAACTGCAAACATCAAATGTTTCTTTCC